AATGGGACCATACTGGGCTGAACTACGGGAACACAATGGGACCATACTGGGCTGAACTCCGGGTATACAATGGGACCATACTGGGCTGAACTCCGGGAATACAATGGGACCATACTGGGCTGAACTCCGGGTATACAATGGGACCATACTGGGCTGAACTCCGGGTATACAATGGGACCATACTGGGCTGAACTCCAGGTATACAATGGGACCACACTGGGCTGAACTCCGGGTATACAATGGGACCATACTGGGCTGAACTCCGGGTATACAATGGGACCACACTGGGCTGAACTCCGGGAAAACAATGGGACCATACTGGGCTTAACTCCGGGAACACAATGGGACCATACTGGGCTGAACTCCGGGAAAACAATGGGACCATACTGGGCTGAACTCCGGGAACACAATGGGACCATACTGGGCTGAACTCCGGGAATACAATGGGACCATATTGGGTTGAACTCTGGGAAACACAGAGACCATACTGGGCTGAACTCTAGGAAACACATAGAAACCATACTGGGCTGAAGTCCGGGAAACACATAGAAACCATACTGGGCTGAACTACAGGAATACATTGGGACCATACTGGGTTGAACTCTGGGAACACAATGGGACCATACTGGGCTGAACTCCGGGAAAACAATGGGACCATACTGGGCTGAACTCCGGGAACACAATGGGACCATACTGGGCTTAACTCCGGGAACACAATGGGACCATACTGGGCTGAACTCCGGGAACACAATGGGACCATACAGGGCTGAACTCCGGGAAACACATAGAAACCATACTGGGCTGAACTCCGGGTATACAATGGGACCATACTGGGCTGAACTCCGGGAAACACATAGAAACCATACTGGGCTGAACTCCGGGTATACAATGGGACCATACTGGGCTGAACTCCGGGTATACAATGGGACCATACTGGGCTGAACTCCGGGTATACAATGGGACCATACTGGGATGAACTCCGGGAATACAATGTGACCACACTGGGCTGAACTCCGGGAATACAATGTGACCATACTGAGCTGAACTCCGGGAATACAATGTGACCATACTGGGCTGAACTCCGGGAAACACATAGAGACCATACTGGGCTGAACTCCGGGTATACAATGTGAACACACTGGGCTGAACTCCGGGTAAACAATGGGACCATACTGGGCTGAACTCCGGGTATACAATGTGACTATACTGGGCTGAACTCCGGGAATACAATGTGTAGCAGAAGAAAGGGAAGTTCCTCTAATAATGATCCTAGTGGGGGGAATGCTCACCATTCCCCCCTTTCAAAGAACATGTATTTTCGTCACAGAGGCGATCTGTGAATGGAGGAGGGGGAGATTCAGTTGTATACCCACCTTCCCCCCTCCTCCATTCACAAAAAAAGTTATATTTTTTTTACACAGAATGAAAGGCGTTCTGTGAATAGACAAGCGGAGAAGAGGGGAGAGGAGTGGCAGACGTAGTGCTAAACCTCCCCTCCTCCATTCACAGAACTCCTTGTATTTTGTAAAAAAAAAAAATGTTATTGAATGGAGGAGGGACAGGTATGCAACTGAATCACCCCTCCTCCATTCACTATATGCCTTAGATTCTGTGAAAATATATAAAGTTTTTTTTTTTTCTGAATGGAGGAGGTTATACTGGATCCCTTCACTGGTGTAGCCGTATCTCTCATCCCCGCAGAGCCAAAAATATTTCCGTTTGATGTTGTTTTGTTTTTAATTGTGTTAGTATTATCTAGAGCTGCAACAACTAATCGAAGTTAATAATCGGCTAACTAATCGATTATGAAAATAATCGTTAGCTACAGCCCTAGTATTTTCATTATTAGAGGAATTTACTTTTCTTCTACAATATTTGCCCCGAAGTTCCCCCTCAGTGTCTATTCACACGTGTCTGTCTCCGTGCAGCATGAAGATACACTGTGGGTGAAAACTCTAATCACCTCCCTCTGCCACTTCACATGTATGAGATGCAGTTTAGTGTGAACTAGTTCACGCCTACACAGGTGCATTAGCATGACATGTTTCAGGCCATGCTTGTACACGCAGGTACACCCTTGCCCTTTTCTTCCCCCAGGGCATGCCCTCTGTTCCAGACATCAGTCCCAGTCCTGTAGAACATTCTGTAGATCTAAGAACTCGTAGATTGGGTTCCCAGAACCTGTGGCGAGGTCAGTATCGGGTCTTCCATCCGTTGTCATTGTCACACACAGGAGAGGGTCTTCCTTGCGCTATTTTCTCACATGTCTGGTGTCCCTCCCAGTCTGGTTTTACTTGTTCTGTGATATTTTCAGTGAAGACTCGTCCTCCTTCTTTTTTGGAGAGGTGTCAGGGGGAAAGGTGCTGTGGTTGAGTTTCATTGCCGCCCGGGACTGTCACATTGACTTTACACCTCTGTAACCTTTTCCTTTTCTTTATACATTTGTATCAATCTTCTTCTTCTTACCTCCCGGAATTCACAGCACCGCTGTCAGCCGGACCATGCCGAGGGCCGCCGTCTGCTCGCCCTGCGCTCTCTGCCTCCGGGGCTTATACAGCTGTTCCTGCAAAAAGGCAAAGCGAGACATCGGAACGGTAAGCCGGACATCTGCGGTCACTGGGAGAGTGCGGGGTCACTGGGAGAGTGCGGGGTTTGCTTTGATGTTTTACGGGAAATATGACAAATCCTTATCATGGAATAAGCGTGACGGCAGAAAAAAAAGCACCATAGAGTCCGCCCCTTTTTGAAATGCTTTTGTTTATTTTATCTCCGTGTAGAACTAGGTGCGCCCCAATCATGATTACAGTCACTTGCTGTCTCCGGATATTCAATTGTAGTAAAGGAAAACCAATCTCCGGGCGCCTTGCCCCGTCACACTGGTAAATAATAGGATTGGTGACGACGGTTGGGACAGTCCATTGTTGGGGAATATTGGGGGGGACTGAACCCCGACATAGGGACTGTTACTCTGTGATGTTTGCATTCACTGAACGGCTGTCATCATCATCATCGTTTCTATTTCTTCTCATTTATTCTTCAATAACCAGGAATTTGTCTTCTAACCTGCGTGAGATTTTTTAGCACATTGATCTTTTATTTCCGTCGCAGGATTTGTTTTATAACTTTCACATCAAGTTTCTTATTTTTCTACTTCTGAGAACCGAACATTCGGATTTAGTGACAATGATCCGGGAAGATTGGAAGGTGACGGATTTTACTCCGGATTCCTGGTCATTACTATATACAGTATATACAATGTAACACATGGAAGGATGCCCGGTCAGTACTATATACAGTATATACAATGTAACACATGGAAGGATTCCCGGTCATTACTATATACAGTATATACAATGTAACACATGGAAGGATTCCCGGTCATTACTATATACAGTATATACAATGTAACACATGGAAGGATGCCCGGTCAGTACTATATACAGTATATACAATGTAACACATGGAAGGATTCCCGGTCATTACTATATACAGTATATACAATGTAACACATGGAAGGATGCCCGGTCATTACTATATACAGTATATACAATGTAACACATGGAAGGATGCCCGGTCATTACTATATACAGTATATACAATGTAACACATGGAAGGATGCCCGGTCAGTACTATATACAGTATATACAATGTAACACATGGAAGGATGCCCGGTCATTACTATATACAGTATATACAATGTAACACATGGAAGGATGCCCGGTCATTACTATATACAGTATATACAATGTAACACATGGAAGGATGCCCGGTCAGTACTATATACAGTATATACAATGTAACACATGGAAGGATGCCCGGTCATTACTATATACAGTATATACAATGTAACACATGGAAGGATCCCCGGTCATTACTATATACAGTATATACAATGTAACACATGGAAGGATGCCCGGTCAGTACTATATACAGTATATACAATGTAACACATGGAAGGATGCCCGGTCAGTACTATATACAGTATATACAATGTAACACATGGAAGGATGCCCGGTCAGTACTATATACAGTATATACAATGTAACACATGGAAGGATTCCCGGTCATTACTATATACAGTATATACAATGTAACACATGGAAGGATGCCCGGTCATTACTATATACAGTATATACAATGTAACACATGGAAGTTTTTCTCGTGGGCTCCGTCCCGCCTTCCACTTTCACCTGGTATCGCGGGTCAGGTGATTGAACCTTCTGGAAGGCTGCACAGGATTTCCGTTCCCCTCAGGACGGAACAATCATATTTTATTGCCGGATTCAGTTGCCAGTCTCGGGTCTGGAGGCTCCGGCATTGCGATGGATGAAAACGTTCTCTGCTCCCCTTCACCATGAACAGAAATTGGCATTTGAAGGCTGAACTCCGGAGAAACTTCCAGATACACGGGAGCTGCTGCAGCTGCCCAATGTGTTGTATTACTGTCCATCCAGTCCTGACATTTACACAGCTCTGTCACACAGCACATCCCTGAGGAGAACGGATTGTTCTCTGCTTTAGTTCAGTAAGGGAGGAGACCTCTAAGTCTTGCCAGGAAGCCTCGGGGCTTAAAGGACTTGTCCCTCGTGAAAGGGGAAGAACCAGACTGATGTGCTCATCTTTGTGTCAGTCTGCTCTCTCCTTCTATCAGCATGTGCCTCGCACTGCAGCAGAACTGATCGGCTCCTTGTGCTGCACTTTGCAGGTTCTCTGTTGGGTGAGTGTGGTTGGCTAGAGGGTCTCCATCAATGACTTCCAACCTAATCCAGAGATCGGGATGCTCTGGAGTTTCTAATGAAGTTGCTTATTCACCCCCAGCGTCTATAGCTCCCACCTCTGGGGTGTCTTCCTGGTGGTCACATGATGAACAGGCTCCTCCTCCTCCAGCGTTGGCTGTCCTCCATGCTGTAGATAATGGCGCTCGCATTGGCTCATTCTAGGCAGCATTGTACTGTGAGCCCAGGCTGTGAGATGAAACCGAACTCGGAGGGGGCGTGTCTATGACGGGGAGTCCAGGAAGTGGAAGAATGGTGACGGGCGTCATTCCACCAGGAAGTGTAGTGGCGACCAGTAGGGGGGGAGGGTGGTGTCGGAATGTGGAGAGGGTGAGAAGTACTTTACAAAATAATGTTTTACTACATGAAAGGAAAGCAAAGCCAACAAACATATCAAGGTGGGTGTACGGTGGACCCGGCGTCTAGGAATTGTGTTGGCTGTGTACCATGTGACCCTTAGATGCGGCCGCCGTTACTTGTTCTGATTATGGACATGAATTGACCCGACGCTGAAACTTTCTTTTTTTCTTCCAGTGCGAGTGTGTCTGGGTTCTCCTGATCTTCCTTATCTTCCTCTTCACACTGATATGGATGTATGTCACGCTGATCCTAAAAAACGACATACACAACTTCAATGAGTAAGTGTCGCCCCCTTTACTGTCCCCTTATAGTTCTATTCGGCCTCTTCAGCCCCCCAAAACCCGGACGGAGCCCCAGAAATATACACGGGATCAGATAGACATTGTATGAGCATCCTCCATTGTCATTTCTCAGTAGTTGTACAGGAAGTCTAAATATGACTGTGCAGTCACACCCAGTGTACTCTGCTAATAGCCCCGGTCAGACACTCTAACCTCTCCCTATGCCGCTATCTGTAGGTTCTCTCCAATTGCTTTTACCTCCCATAGATACAAGAAAGATAAACAAAGAGGGAAATCTTCAATTCTCTTTTTTAATCTGATTTATAATTTTTCTGCAGAGAAATCTTCCGGTTGCTGGGCTTGTGGCAGGACTGGTCTGTGGTGTTTATAACGGTGGCGGCCGTCCTTCTCGCCTATTGTGCTGTCCTGATGGTACGTATAGAACACGAGGCGGGACAGAGTGTTGTCACCCTGTAACAGGAAGTGCACTTTTTTCTGTGCTTTTGTCGCGTCTTTGTGAAAGGAAAACTTGCGTGTCGTATTTGGGGTACATTGCAACGAATGGCATCACAAGTGCGACACGTGTCCTTGGCGTGTTTCCGGTGTTCCTGCAATACCGTGATTATGTAACGTCAATAAAGACGTATTGATGATGAGGATGGTGCACTGGTGACTTACTCTCTTCTCTTGGAGAGTTTTGGGACACGAATGGGGCTCATTTTATACGTTTCACTTGTTTTCTCCGTTTTATTTTTAGACTTTTCAAGAAGAAAGTTTCTGTTTTTTTTTTTATAACAATGTTTTTGGGTTTTTTTTCAATGATTTGCCGACAGACATTTACTTGTTACAATGCTGCCCTCTGCTGTCCTCTGCTGCCCTCTGCTGGTGGATGAAGGATTCCTGTCTCACAATGCGTTCTCTCATTTCCCATCATACAGATCATCTCCATGTGCCTCCTCCTGTGCGCTCAGCCCCTCAGACTGCACTGGGTCCATAAGGTGAGACTCCGACCTTCATCTCCTGTCATCGGGAGGTCAGAGGTCGGCCCCATTCTAACCTGGATCTTGTGTTTTCTGTCCATCAGGTTCTGCTGGCGTTCTGCACCGTGCTGGTATCTCTGGGAATTATCGGTCTGTACTTCAAGTGGAAGATTGAATGGGCCGCGGTCGCCGTCTCGTTGCAGGTGATTTATTTATTTTATTTTAGAAGTGAAATCGAGTTTTCATTTTCTTGAGAGTTACAGAAACTCCTTTCACCTCTCCGGGACCTGTTCTTGTACCAAAAAAGTCCCCTCATTGGCCTTATTATAATCATTTAAGATATGTAAGGTATTATTATTATTAATTATTATTATTACCTTGAATATCTTGCATTATTATTTTTATTTACTTAAATAATATAATAATATAACAACAATAGCCATACTACTAATAATAATAATAATGTAAAGTAATTATAATAATAATAACAACAACACTACTACTAATATTATCCTAAATAATATAATAATATAACAACAATAGCCATACTACTAATAATAATAATAATGTAAAGTAATTATAATAATAATAACAACAACACTACTACTAATATTATCCTAAATAATATAATAATATAACAACAATAGCCATACTACTAATAATAATAATAATGTAAAGTAATTATAATAATAATAACAACAACACTACTACTAATATTATCCTAAATAATATAATAATATAACAACAATAGCCATACTACTAATAATAATAATAATGTAAAGTAATTATAATAATAATAACAACAACACTACTACTAATATTATCCTAAATAATATAATAATATAACAACAATAGCCATACTACTAATAATAATAATAATGTAAAGTAATTATAATAATAATAACAACAACACTACTACTAATATTATCCTAAATAATATAATAATATAACAACAATAGCCATACTACTAATAATAATAATAATGTAAAGTAATTATAATAATAATAACAACAACACTACTACTAATATTATCCTAAATAATATAATAATATAACAACAATAGCCATACTACTAATAATAATAATAATGTAAAGTAATTATAATAATAATAACAACAACACTACTACTAATATTATCCTAAATAATATAATAATATAACAACAATAGCCATACTACTAATAATAATAATAATGTAAAGTAATTATAATAATAATAACAACAACACTACTACTAATATTATCCTAAATAATATAATAATATAACAACAATAGCCATACTACTAATAATAATAATAATGTAAGAAATTTAAGATAACAACTATACTACTACTACTGATAATAATTTAGGATAATATTAGTAGTAGTGTTGTTATTATAAGTATCTTAAATTATTATTATTAGTAGTTAGTATGGTTGTTGTTAATAATTAATATTATTATTTTATCCATTTTGTGCAGAAAATAAGGACTGTTTTAAATTTAAAGCAACAGTACACGAATAGCAACAAATAATCATAAAACGAGAATTGGGCAGATCTGTTGTCTTCTGTTGTCATCCCGGCCAGCACTGTGACATTAACCCCGTACGCCTGAAGCTGGCCGCACACTGGTAGATTTTCATATGACCATTCTCATTGTGATGTCATGATTGTCCAATGTCACTACAGTGTGGAATGGTGTGCTGGTGGCTTCCCCCTTTAATACAATCAGAGAGTTGATGAATGTCATCCAGATTTCATTTTGGGTTTTATTTTTGGGGGATTTTGGGGAGGGGCTCAGAATTCACACAGTCTGGAGAAGGAAAAGTGAATTCCGGCTCTGCTGACTTCTCTTCGATCCCTATCTGATCCCTATAGAGGACGGACTGTGATCACTGTCCTTGGTCTGCATATACTTTGTATTCGGATGAATCGTTTCATTGTTCCTGTTACAGCTGTAAATGTAACACATCCGGCACACCGAGGGTTAAATTGTATCGCGAATTCCTTCACACCATCCGTCATACACCCCCCATGTGATCATCCTACCCGCATCAGGGACAATGAATACACTTTCTGTTTCTGACGGGGTGAATGTCCTGCGGGTTCACCTGACGTTTGGTGAGTCTTAAGTCGGTCCTAAACGGTTAGAATTTCATCCGAAAAATCTCATCGGAAGATTCCATGATGTCATCAGAGGCTTGAATAGCATCCAAAATCCAAAATGTGCCTGAAGAAGGACAGAGCGTTGTCACCCTATAACAGGAAGTGTCTGAACAAGGACAGAGCATTGTTACCCTATAACAGGAAGTGTCTGAACAAGGACAGAGCATTGTTACCCTATAACAGGAAGTGTCTGAACAAGGACAGAGCATTGTCACCCTATAACAGGAAGTGCCTGAACAAGGACAGAGCATTGTTACCCTATAACAGGAAGTGCCTGAACAAGGACAGAGCATTGTTAGCCTATAACAGGAAGTGTCTCAAGAAGGACAGAGCGTTGTCACCCTATAACAGGAAGTGCCTGAACAAGGACAGAGCATGGTCACCCTATAACAGGAAGTGTCTGAAGAAGGACAGAGCATGGTCACCCTATAACAGGAAGTGCCTGAACAAGGACAGAACGTTGTCACCCTATAACAGGAAGTGCCTGAACAAGGACCCTCATAGGAGGATCACCGGGGATTATTTAATATTGCCTGTTAGTGATTGGGTTTCCATCTTTCCCATGTGGTGGTGTTCAGCTTCTCTGGAGTCTGACTGTCCCGGAAACTGGTCATGTGACTCTGGTAATGATCGGCTCAGCTCTGTCACGCTGTCAGTAAATTTTCGGGTTTTATAAATCTTACTTAGAGACTTTTCAGTAATATATGAGCTCGGATATTCCAGAACAGACCCAGCTAGTGACCAACACAAATGTTCACCAATCCCTCTGGTCCATGGCTCCAATGAACGACTTCTGTGTCTTATACCAACTAATCCAGATAAACCGATCACTGAACAGGAAACCAAATCCTGGCCGAGGGAGAAATACCCGGGAACCAAATCATGGCGATGACAACGTCCAATATTTATATATATATATTGTATCTGTGTTTTATCTTTCTCTTTATCTCTATTCATAATATATATGGATGCTCTCTCTCCCTCTCCTCTCTCTCTCTCCTCTCTCTCTCCTCTCTCTCCTCTCTCTCCTCTCCCTCCCTCTCTCTCTCCTCTCCCTCTCCCTCTCCTCTCCCTCTCTTCTCTCTTCTCTCTTCTTCTCTCTCTCTCCCTCTCCGCTCTCTCTCTCTCCCTCTCCGCTCTCTCTCTCTCCCTCTCCTCTCTCCCTCTCCTCTCTCCCTCTCCTTCTCCCTCTCTACCTCTCTCTCTCTCCCTCTCCTCTCTCTCCTCTCCCTCTCCTCCCTCTTCTCTCTCTTCTCTCCCTCTCTTCTCTCCCTCTCTTCTCTCCTCTCTCGCTCTCTTCTCTCGCTCTCTTCTCTCTTCTCTCTCTCTCTCTCTCTCTCTCCTCTTCTCTCTCCTCCCTTCTCTCTCTCTCCTCTTCTCTCTCCCCCCTTCTCTCTCTCTCCTCTTCTCTCTCCCCCTTCTCTCTCTCTCTCTCCCTCCCTTCTCTCTCCCTCTCCCTCCCTTCTCTCTCCCTCTCCCTCCCTTCTCTCTCCCTCTCCCTCCCTTCTCTCTCCCTCTCCCTCCCTTCTCTCTCCCTCTCCCTCCCTTCTCTCTCCCTCTCCCTCCCTTCTCTCTCCCTCTCCCTCCCTTCTCTCTCCCTCTCCCTCCCTTCTCTCTCCCTCTCCCTCCCTTCTCTCTCCCTCTCCCTCCCTTCTCTCTCCCTCTCCCTCCCTTCTCTCTCCCTCTCCCTCCCTTCTCTCTCCCTCTCCCTCCCTTCTCTCTCCCTCTCCCTCCCTTCTCTCTCCCTCTCCCTCCCTTCTCTCTCCCTCTCCCTCCCTTCTCTCTCCCTCTCCCTCCCTTCTCTCTCCCTCTCCCTCCCTTCTCTCTCCCTCTCCCTCCCTTCTCTCTCCCTCTCCCTCCCTTCTCTCTCCCTCTCCCTCCCTTCTCTCTCCCTCTCCCTCCCTTCTCTCTCCCTCTCCCTCCCTTCTCTCTCCCTCTCCCTCCCTTCTCTCTCCCTCTCCCTCCCTTCTCTCTCCCTCTCCCTCCCTTCTCTCTCCCTCTCCCTCCCTTCTCTCTCCCTCTCCCTCCCTTCTCTCTCCCTCTCCCTCCCTTCTCTCTCCCTCTCCCTCCCTTCTCTCTCCCTCTCCCTCCCTTCTCTCTCCCTCTCCCTCCCTTCTCTCTCCCTCTCCCTCCCTTCTCTCTCCCTCTCCCTCCCTTCTCTCTCCCTCTCCCTCCCTTCTCTCTCCCTCTCCCTCCCTTCTCTCTCCCTCTCTCTCTCTCTCCTCTTCTCTCTCCCCCCTTCTCTCTCTCTCTCTCCCTCCTGCACAATACATGGGAAGACTCCAACTTAATGTAAACTCTATCTTTCTACATTAATGGAGATCTTGATGCCGGTCCTCGTGCTCCGGCTCTGACAGCTGTCATTGGTTGTCTGGAGGTCTCCATTCATCTATGTAATGAACAAAGGTTACCGCCGGGTCCCGCCTCCTGCCAGCGCCGTCCACACATCAGTCGGCTATGAATGTCGTTTTCTTTTTTCCTTGATATTTTAGGCTCAGAGTAACATTCCCGACCCGGGGATAGAATACAATGTTTCCTTACAGCTAAAAACCTGAGACGTTCCTGTCATTGTATCAAAGATCCCCCCACATGATGGAACTCTAGAAAAGTTATTCTTGCCGAACCCTATAAGAACATAATATATAATAGAATCTGTCAGAGGACGGGAGCGTTGTGGGGTATTCGGGGGGTTGTTGGGTATTCGGGGGTCCTCTCCCTGATGGTTTCAGGTTTTTATAGGATTAGGAATTAGGAGTTTTGTATTTTTTGGGTTGAAGAGATTTCTGCTGATCTGTGGAGAACATATCGCATGGAAGGTGTCTCTGGATGGCAGTGTAGAAGATATGCAGCGAATAGTTTTCTGTATTCAGTATATGATTTGTGGACATGTGTGGCCCCCAGCAGTGACCTCTCTGTAGACGTGCGGGGCCCCAGCAGTGACCTCTCTGTGGACATATGGGGCCCACAGCAGTGACTTCTCTATGGACATGTGTGGCCCCCAGCAGTCCCTCTCTGTAGATGTGTGGGGCCCCCAGCAGTGACCTCTCTGTGGACATATGGGGCCCACAACAGTGACTTCTCTGTGGACATGTGTGGCCCCCAGCAGTCCCTCTCTGTAGAGGTGTGGGATCAGGTATGTAAAGTCCTTGTTTCGGGGTCCCCTGGGCATTATTGAACATTTAACCCTTGCAGTGCCGTGGGGGCCCCCCCTGGAAGGTTCATTTTTTAGTTTCCCCTGGAGCTCAGCTTTAATCCCCGGTTAATTTCCACCTATGTAAAGTGACGTGCCCCTCTTCTTCACTGCAGGCGACGAGTCCGTTTCTGCACATTGGCGCTGTGTTTGGGGTCTCCGCCTTGGCCTGGGTCCTCGCCGGATATTTTTGGGAGACGAAGCTCAAAGGTAACAAAGATTCTAGAAATGAACTATTTGTATCTGTCGGTTGTTGTACACAAAGTATAATTCATCAATAATCCGATCACATGGGAACCCCACCATAGATATGGGGAGGGTGGAGGAGGGGCCACACCATAGACATGGGGAGGATGGTGGAGGGGCCACACCATAGACATGGGAGGGTGGAGGAAGGGCCACACCACAGACATGGGAGGGTGGAGGAGGGGCCACGCCATAGACATGGAGAGGGTGGAGGAAGGTAAACACCATAGACATGGGGAGGGTGGAGGAGGGGCCACACCATAGACATGGGGAGGTTGGAGGAGGGGCCACACCATAGACATGGGGAGGGTGGAGGAGGGGCCACACTATAGACATGGGTAGGAGGAGCCAAGATATAGACATGGGGAGGGAGGAGGAGGGGCCACACCATAGACACGGGGAGGGTGGAGGAGGGGCCAAGCTATAGACATGGGGAGGGTGGAGGAGGGGCCACACCATAGACACGGGGAGGGTGGAGGAGGGGCCAAGCTATAGACATGGGGAGGGTGGAGGAGGGGCCACACTATAGACATGGGTAGGAGGAGCCAAGATATAGACATGGGGAGGGAGGAGGAGGGGCCACACCATAGACACGGGGAGGGTGGAGGAGGGGCCAAGCTATAGACATGGGGAGGGTGGAGGAGGGGCCACACTATAGACATGGGTAGGAGGAGCCAAGATATAGACATGGGGAGGGAGGAGGAGGGGCCACACCATAGACACGGGGAGGGTGGAGGAGGGGCCACGCTATAGACATGGATAGGAGGTGCCAAGATATAGACATGGGGAGGGTGGAGGAGGGGCCGCACCATAGACATGGGGAGGGTGGAGGAGGGGCCAAGCTATAGACATGGGTAGGAGGTGCCAAGATATAGACATGGGGAGGGCGGAGGAGGGGCCGCACCATAGACATGGGGAGGGTGGAGGAGGGGCCACACCATAGACATGGGGAGGGTGGAGGTGGGGCTATGCTATAGACATGGGTAGGAGGAGCCAAGATATAGACATAGGGAGGGAGGAGAAGGGGGCCACACCATGGACATATTACCCCAACCAATCACAGCGGAGGGGGATCCGGCACGGCTCGTCTGGCCATTGAATCTAATAATCTTCGAGGAAACAATGACGTGAGTTGATATGTAAATGTCTTTTGTTCCTAGTATTGAAGTGTCTCCTCCTGGTTGTGTACTGCCTCCTTGTGTGCGCGTTGTTTGTGAGTCCCATCTTCGCCACATCACCCTGCGTCATGAATGCGTCTGAGCTCACCCCCAGACCCCAAATTATAGGACATCGCGGAGCACCAATGGTAAGATATTGGAGGACGGGCCCATAAAGCTTTGTCTTCTCTCCACTCCCAGCCTCTTGACTGGACAGCGAAAGAGCAGCCGCAGTCTGATGAGGTCATTGCTCTTCTCGCTCTGCTCTCTCCCTCATCAGCATGTTCATTTGCATGCAGCACACCTGATTGTCGCCCTGCTCCTCCCTCTTCCAGTCTGAGTGCTGCTGTACAGTGAGTGGTAAGAGGCTGATACATAGTAACATGAGATTAATTTAGGGAAATACATGAAACGATGTGTGGAGTTCAGTTTCCAGTGGACAGATAAACAGTCAAGGCCTCTGATTGGAGAGATATTTAGGATGACAAGGTCTTTATTTTGCAGTTGGCTCCAGAAAACACAATGATGTCATTCGAGAAGCTGGTGGAATCTGGCGGAAAGGTGTTTGAAACGGACGTTGTGGTGAGGTAATGCGAGAATTCTGCGTTCGCCATCATCTGTTATGTATCATGTGTACTGTGTGCGGGTTCAACGCCGTCTGTTATGTATCATGCGTACTGTGTGCGGGTCATCGTCGTCTGTTATGTATCATGTGTACTGTGTGCGGGTTCATCGTCGTCTGTTATGTATCATGTGTACTGTGTGCGGGTTCCGATTGTCTGTTCTCTGTCCTCAGCTGGGATGGGGTCCCCTTTCTGATGCACGATGACACTCTGCTGAGGACAACCAACGTCATTGACGTGTTTAAAAATCGATCGCGTGAAAACTGCGCTAACTTCACCTGGAGCGACCTGAAGATGCTGAACGCTGGTGAATGGTTCATGCAGGTAACTGCCAATATATCAGGAGATCAATAATATGATACCGATCAATAAAGAGGCAGAAAGATACATAATTACACTTCCTCAAAGTAACATTTACAAAGTATCAACTGACTCCACACATTCACTCAGCGTGTATCAGATTATCATTGTGCCGAGCTAAGATTCCAATGGGTGAATAGATCTCGATGGGTAAATTATGAAGATTCCATAAAACAAATTTCCAATACCATCAATCACAGGGAGGTATTATGTCCTTATCCCAGCATGGCTGTGACAGTAAAGGGCTCTAGTCTTCTCCCCGTCCCCTCCTCTCTTCTCCCTCGTCCCCTCCTCTCTTCTCCCTCGTCCCCTCCTCTCTTCTCCCTCGTCCCCTCCTCTCTTCTCCCTCGTCCCCTCCTCTCTTTTCTACCTCGCCCCCTCCGCTCTTCTCCCCGTCCCCTCCGCTCTTCTCCCCGTCCCCTCCGCTCTTCTCCCCGTCCCCTCCTGTTGTATTCCTGCCCCTCCTTTCTCCCTTCCTCTCTTCTGCCCTCCTCTCCTTTTCCCTCTCTCCTTTCCCCTCTTCTCTCTCATCCATTCCCCATCTTTCCCTCCTCTCTGTCCTCATTTCCCTTCCTTTCCCCTACTCTCTCTCCTTTCCTTCCCCCTCCTCTCTCCCCTCCTTTTCCCTACTCTCTTTCCTTCTTTCCCGTCCTTTGCTCTCCTCTCTCCCCCTCCCTTCCCCTCCTCTCTCCTTGTCCATACACAGAATGCCTTGTATTCTGTGTGGGGAACAGTACAAGGCTTTTTGTGAATGGGTGAGAGGAGGAGGAGGTGACTCTAGCCCTTCCCTGTCACAGCTGCTGCTCTCCTCCCCGCAGCACCAGGCAATACAGTGCTATGTGTAGGATCCAAATAGTCACAAAAGAACATCCCGCTGTTATCAGTTACACTATTCTCAGCTATCTGTGGGGACTACAGAACTCTCCCTGGCAGGCAGGATCACCGGGTGAAAACAAAGGGACAAAAGCCAGGAAAAAAAAGAAAACTAAAGCAGCCACCACATCTAAGGATAGGTAATGGGGGGGCGGGGCAGACACATCTATGGACTGGTGCATAGATCTGTCACAGGTGAACTGATGAAGGGTTATTACTGGTAGAAAAACACCAGACTTGGTCATGTGATCTACGTACCTTTATTTTGTCTGCAGAGAAACCCGTTTGGAACAGCCGGTGATGCTGAGCGTGAAAAGGTGAAACAACAGAAAATTCCATCTCTAGAGGAAATGATCAATACATGCAAAGACCGGAACATCTCCATCATGTTTGATCTGCGGAGGCCGCCTCCTGGGCACCCCTATAACGAGAGCTTTGTGAATGTGACAGTCCATACCATCCTGAAGACTTCTATCAGTGAGGAGCTGGTGAGTCTCTCACAGTCTGCCATTTTCTTTCTTCTCTGTGACCAGAACTTCAATCTGAGCCTTCCTTTCAGTCTTGCAAAGTTGTACCGGCTCCTTTCCTCTTCCTCTGATATCACTGCACACTGGGAGCTTCTCACAATGTGCATTAGAAGATGCAGCAAGTCAGATTGGAGCCCGCCTCATTTCCTGGCTGGAGGACTTCCAGCATCATCTAGCACTTTCCTCCCCAGCCTGACTGTCCCTCGCCCCACCCCTTTCTTTCTTTCATTAGATTTCAATTCTTCCAATCATGGAGGCTCAGCGTCACTTGTAGGCATTACCTAGGGAGGTCTGTATGGAAATACAGCCTACCTAGAAATCCCTACTCCTGCAGAATTACATCTGCCCATCAAGGCATTTTGATATTTGCATAACTCCCCCCACCGCTTGCATCAGGGTAGGTGACAGGTTCAATAAAGAGAACCTGTCACCTCCAAATGCTATCGCACAGGGGCTTGTTAGCTAGCTTCTGTGTGGTAGCAATAAAGTTAAGTGAAACAAAAATAGATAAAAAATAAATAAAAATTGATAAAAAATGATAAAATAAACATTTATGAAGAAATAAGTAAAAAATAATAATTACAATGATAAAAAGTAAAAGATTGTAAGATTAAAAAAATAAAGAAATTAACAAATAATTAGAAAAAAAATTATAACAAATAAGTGAAAAAGAATCAGATAAATAAAAATGTAAAAAAAAATAAAAAAAGTGGGTGGGGCGCAAAAATGCTCTTTTGCCTGTGTAGGCAAAAATCCTTGCACCGGCCTTGGGTGCAGTGATATTTTCAGGAAGCTATGTACAGCAGCCTGCTGGCTCCTCCCACCAGCACTATATACAAATAGTACTGTGCTTACATACATTTATGCCCTTATTAGGAAATGTTATAGAAGAAAGATAGCATTCATACCTGTATACAATATTTTCCGTATATTTTATGAAATGTCTTTATAGCGGCTTTTTTTTCCCCCCCTCCCGGTAGATCCTTTGGCTTCCCGATGATGACCGGGAAGAAGTGATGCGACAAGCTCCCGGTTTTCGGCAGATTTATGGAAGGAAGAGACAGGAAAATGACACGTTGGACGCCGTCAATCTGTCCTATACAAATCTGAGCGTGGACGACATCCGGTATGGCGGCTCTTAAATACGTTGTGTGTTTTGCTTATAATTGCTTTTGATAGAAATATTTTATTGTGCTACTGTGTAACAATTTTTTGTCAGCCTCCTACCAGAGATCTGAGCTTGCATTAAATGTATGAGGAATGTAATGAGAATATCTGCACCGCCATCTTCTCCCTCCACCCTGTGTGTATGTCTTGTTGGTGCTCAACTGGCTGTGTGGAGAGACTGGGAGGTGGAAGAGGAATCCTTCTCTCCGCACTCCCATCTCTCTGCACAACTTGTCCACACAGCCAGTTGAGCACCAACAAGACATACACACAGGGTGGAGGGAGAAGATGGCGGTGCAGATATTCTCATTACATTCCTCATACATTTAATGCAAGCTCAGATCTCTGGTAGGAGGCTGACAAAGTTAGCCGAGTTAGAAATCTTTCCGTTAGGAGGAAGAATTTGGAAACTCTGAACACTGGGAGTCAAAGCGATACTTTTGTTTATCTCCTCCTTGTGTAAGGTGACATCAGAATGTTGGTACCTAGAAGTGCCTGTATGTGATATCTACTAGAGCCCTGGCGGCTGCATATGGTCCCTCCGGTACTTTTCCCAAACTGCGGCCCCCTTTGGCACTTTTTATCCAGCCCCTGGAGACCCTGCGGGCGGTATTCTGTGTTTTGGTGCTTTCAAAACCAGTAAAATATTCTTTAGGCTTTTTGGTTTGGGTTCTTTGGGTTCTTTCATGCCATATTGCTTTTTAAAAATACCACCTTACATTGGTGATCAATGGAGAACTGCCACCTTACATTGGTGATCAATGGAGAACTGCCACCTTACATTGGTGATCAATGGAGAACTGCAACCTTACAATGATTATCAATGGAGGAATAGCACTTTACATTGATGATCAATGGAGAAATACCACCTAACATTGATGATCATTGGAGGAAAACCACTTTTAAATTGGTGATCAATGGAGAAATGCCACCTTACAATGATGATCAATGGAGGAATGCCACCTCACATTGGTGATCAATGGAGAAATGCCACCTTATAATGATGATCAATGGAGAAATGCCACCTTATAATCATGATCAATGGAGGAATACCACTTTACATTGGTGATCAATGGAGAAATACCATCTTACATTGATGATCAATGGAGGAATACCACTTTAAATTGGTGATCAATGGAGAAATACCACCTTATAATGATGATCAATGGAGGAATACCACCTTACAATGGTGATCAATGGAGAAATGTCACCTTACAATGATGGTCCATGGAGAAATACCACCTCACATACATGATCAATGGAGAAATGCCACCTTACATTGATGATCGATGGAGAAATACCACATTATATTGATGATCAATGGGGAAATACCACCTTACGTTGATGATCAATGGGGAAATACCCCCCTACGTTGATGATCAATTGGGAAATACCACCTTACGTTTATGATCAATGGGGAAATACCACCTTACATTGATGATCAATGGGGAAATACCACCTAACATTGATGATCCATGGAGAAATACCACCTTACATTGATGATCCATGGAGAAATACCACCTTAGATTGATGATCAATGGAGGAATAACACTTTACATTGATGATCAATGGAGAAATACCACCTTACATTGATGAGCATTGGAGGAAAACCACTTTTAAATTGGTGATCCATGGAGAAATACCACCTTACATTGATGGTCCATGGAGAAATACCACCTTACATTGATGGTCCATGGAGAAATACCACCTTACATTGATGGTCCATGGAGGAAAACCACCTTAGATTGATGATCAGTGGAGAAATGTCGCCTTACATTGATGATCGATGTAGAAATGCCACCTTACATTGATGATCGATGGTGGAATGCCACTTTACATTGATGATCGATGGAGAAATGTCCCTTCACATTTGTGGTCTATGGAAAGAAAGCCCCCTCATACTTGTGATCAGTGTTGTCCATTACATTGACTGTCATTGGGAGATTGCTTCCTTACATTGGTGGTCATTGTAGGTAGGAGCTGAGTCTGTCATTGTTCACAGCTCAATGAAGCCTGGGCAGCGTCTGTAGGTTGGCCTGATCCAAAGATAGTGTGGAAGAGTTAGAAGCGGTGTGTCCCCGCTGGTGTAATTCAACCTGTATTTGTCCTGATGAACATTACCACTGAGCCAGAACATGATGGGAAATCCAAAACTTTGCAGTTGTCCCCAGAATGTGAATATGGGGTAAATATTCCAATGTCGACAAAAGTCTAAGAGGGGGTTTCTCATTACACTGTAGAGGTTTCCTTTCACTTCCTGTTGTGTCTTCAAGACGGGAAGTGAGTGGAAATCTACGTAATGGAACACACAGAAATAAAAAATTTATTTTTTTATTTTTGTTACTGTTTTCTACTTAATCCAAAGCGAATTTTTTTTTTCCACTTTCGATATATAGGAGATCAGAGGAGGGACAGTGCTTGAGCTGGGATGCCACATGTTTGCATCCCTTTAGCTAACTACCAAGGTTCCCACCTTAAAGGGGACCTGAAGCCAATGGTCAGCTGTGTAATGTGACATCGGGGTCACTGATGAATAGGTGGACCTGTGGTTTGGTGCAAGGTCTGCTGTAAGTTTGCTTTTGCCACGACTTTGTATTATAAGTTTATTCTTCCTGGTTATGTTACTTTAAGGAAAGACGCTTTCCCGGCCTGCAGACTTTATCTGTTCACCTCCATGTCTTTGTCACGTAGGTCATACCGCAAAGATAATATTTCGGTGAATCTGTTTGTGGTTAACAAACCCTGGCTGTTCTCCCACGTGTGGTGTGCAGGAGCCACATCTGTCACCTCCAATGACTTCCAGCTGCTGAATAACCAAAGCAAACCCATATGGCTGCTGGTGAGTAATCACATGCCTTTAAATGCTTTGTGGCAGGAGAAACCTTCCACCCTCCATTCCTCTGCAATAAAAAGATGAGATGAGGGGTGTGGCTGTGATGAGGGGTTGGGCTATAATGTGGGGATACGGCTGTGATGAGGGTTATGGCTGTGATGAGGGTTATGGCTGTGATGAGGGTTATGGCTGTGATGAGGGTTATGGCTGTGATGAGGGGTCTGGCTGTGATGAGGGGTCTGGCTGTGATGAGGGGTCTGGCTGTGATGAGGGGTCTGGCTGTAATGAGGGTGTGGCTATGATGAGGGATATGGCTTTGATGAGGGGTGTGGCTATGATGAGGGATGTGGCTGTGATGAGGGGTCGGGCTCTAATGGGGGATGTGGCTGTGATGAGGGGTCGGGCTCTAATGGGGGATATGGCTGTGATAAGGGGTCTGGCTGCAATGAGGGTTCTGGCTGTAATGGGGGATATGGCTGTGATGAGGGGTGTGGCTGTAATAGGAGATATGGCTATGATGATGGGTCCGGCTGTAAAGAGGGGTGTGGCTATACTGAGGCATTTGGCTGTGATGAGGGGTGTAGTTGTGATGAGGGGTGTGGCTGTAATAACGGGTGTGGCTGTGATGAGGGGTGTGGCTGTAAAGAGGGGTGTGGCTTTTACTCAGCTCTGCCAACACAGAGCACTGCAGGGGTAGGGCAGAATAAGGTAATGGCATTTTCAAGCAAAGATCAGTCACAAATCATAACCTGTAGAATAGGGGACTGTAACAAGATAATCTGGTGTGACAATGTAACGGAATGACGTGAGCCCACTTGTGTCTTTCACTGTTGTTCCTCCGAACGATTTTTTTTTTAACTTTTTGTTCTGACAGAATCCGAATAGTTACTTCATCATATGGATCGTGGCGGATGTTGTGGCGTTAAGTCACATTATTTGGGCATTTGTGCTGCAGAGGTAAGTGGGAGAAACTGAATTTTCCTATGGAGCATGTCGCTTAACGAAATGATTCAATACTGAACAACACCAAAATGTACTCCATAGGGGCCACCAGAGGTTTTACCTCCTCATACTGTATGTACATCGAGAGCCGGAAAGTATGAATGACACCACATTGTAATGTCACATAATACACTATATGGTCAAATGTATATGACACCCCCCGGCTTCCAGATGATGGGGTTCAGGTGTCTCCAGTGAAGGTTGTTAATACTCCATCATAGAAGACATTGTAGACAATTGTGCTCTCCCAGCCTTGTGGTCACAGTTTGGTCACAGCCTATTCTGTCCCACCATGACTGTCCCCTGTGTACAAAGCCAGTTCCATAAAGACATGGTGTTTTCTCTGGCAGCTTGGATGCCATCAAAGGTCATGTGCGTGTAAAGGCCGGCGTCCCAATACTTTTGGTAATATAGTCTGTTACCACTTATCCTGTTAATATCTTCAAAATATATGTCGGCAACTAAACTGACACAGAATGTGCTGTAATGAAGTGATACACGGGGGGAAAAAATGAGCTGAAAAATTAAAGAAAAGAGCGAGAAATGCGTTATGCACGTGTGTGTACCTGCACTTGGGTAAGACGGCGGACCGGAAGTGACGCGAAGCGCGTCTTCCGTGCAGGGCCGGTGCTAGGATTCGTAAAAACAGGGAATTTTGACAAGTACTAGTACTTGTCAAAATGCCCAGATGCTTGTGCTATGTTTTTTTTTTTTTCCACTTACCTTCGGCGCGGGAGAGCAGCGGCGAGTCAGCGCTGGTCCGGTGGGAGGACTGCCTGAGGTGCCGCGCGTGTCGGGATCCTCAGGCAGTCGCCGCCCAGCTAAATTAGGACCCCACCTGGAGCTCCTCCCACCGGACCAGCGCTGACTCACCGCTGCTCTCCCGCACCGAAGGTAGTCAGGCAGTCGCCGGCCAGCTAAATTACGACCCCACCTGGAGCTCCTCCCACCGGACCAGCGCTGACTCGCCGCTGCTCTCCCGCACCGAAGGTAAGTGGAAAAAAAAACATAGCGCAAACATCGGAGCATTTTGACAAGTACAGGTACTTGTCAAAATGCCCTGTTTTTTCCGCCCTCACCCTGCAGCGCCGTAAGACGGCCGCCTGACTTGCCTTGCAGTAGCGCCGGGCCTGCTTCCGTGCCTGAATCTCGATCGTCAGAGGTGAGTAAAACCCCCCTGCCAGCCTTATAACGCCCAGGAGGCAACGACTCCTCCCACAAATACAGGCTAATGCTTTAACCTTCCAACTTGTACTTAATCAAGTGTAATGTTTGTGTTTTGTCTGAATGTCTGCTATTTATTTGTGTTGCAGGATATGTTTACAGAAAAAAGAAGAAGAAGGTAAAGTGTTTTCACAAGTCCAATATGTGAAGGGTCCTTCCCAGGATTTAGATGAGTACCTAGATAACAGATATAAGGGAGAATCGAATACGGACCAACATAGTATAAAAGCGCTCCAGACAAATCGCAGGCGCGATCCAGGACTTGGACAGACGTCAGACAGATCTGAATCCAGGTCATCAGCAGACACAATAACCTGTTGATTGGGAACAGGCTGAAGGTGCACATACACTTTACAACCCTCGCAAGACTTTTGTCTTGCGAGGGTTGTAAAGTAATGAAAAAAACGTACGATCTGCCCATCTTGGATAGGCAGATCGTACTTGCGATGACTGCAATGAGGGGCGGGCTTCCGATGACTGCAATGAGGGGGCGGGCTTCCGATGACTGCAATGAGAGGCGGGCTTCCGATGACTGCAAACGTGCGCACACCGGCCCGTTCGTCAGTTGTCGAACAAGCAGGCCACTAACTCGCCGAGAATGGTACGATTCCCGGCGGGTTTTCCAGCCTGCTTGCTCGATGGAAGACGTGCGACCGTACAGTAGAAACGGTTGCACGCCTTCCACACACTGCGATTATCGTACGATCGTGGGATTTCCCGCAATTCTCGTACAATAATCGCGCAGTGTATGGGCACCGTTTTCTGTGCTGACCTGATCCGTACGCTCCTGCACTCAAAATGCATCCCAATGTATCCCTATGTGTTTTATGGGCTCCAGTTCTCACGTGCGCAGTCCGTTCAGGTTACGACAGAAAAAATACTGCATGTCACATTTTGTCCGGTCCAGAAACGCACGAACGCGCACGAAGTGCAACGGAAACGCAACGCAATGCCGCTAAGGGGGAAAAAAAAGAAAAAATTGTATTCTTGCTCCACTTATTATGATGTCATCAACGTTGACAAAAAATTAACTGTGAGCATCCTGACCGAAAACGCATCAAAAACGCACTGCATCAGCAGCTCCACTATTTTGTTACAAACTGACAATATAAAAGCGACGACCACCCATCAGGTTGAAGTTGCATCCACTGAGTTAGCGTAAAGGTGCCCATACACGATCGTACGATAATCGGCAGGTGTATGGGAAGCTAGGAAGACGAAAGTCGTGCGACCGTACAGTAGATGCGGTTGCACGACTTTCGTCTTCCTAGCATGCTGGAAAACCTGCCGAAAATCGTACGATTTTCGGCGGGTTGGTAGCGTAGACGAAAGTCGCAAGTGCACACTGCCCGCTCAGCATTGCAATCATCGGCAAGCCCTGCCCTCAGCGGGGAGGGCTTGCTATGATCACAAGTACGATCTGCCTGTCCAAGATGGGCAGGTTGTACGAAATTTTAATGACCTTACAACTATCGCACAACGAAAGTCGTGCGATGGTTGTAAGGTGTGTGGCGAGCTTAAATGCCAACTTTTTGTACAAATAGAGGTGGGAACTGAATTTTGATTTTGATTTTGATTTTGATTTTGATTTGTGTAAATTTCGGTAACCTGATACAGTCTGGTGTCCGGCGGCTCGATCTTTAGCTAAGAGTAGATGAATAATCGCTAGCACTGGTTCTTATTGTCCCTGTTCCGTTATATATGACAACCCCTCCATGTGACCAATCTGTCTGTCCTCAGACTGCGATGCTGTGCTGCTGATGAAGATCGAGAACCTGGTCTCCTGAGGTGACTTGACGCCGCTTTGATACGTCTGCGCCATGACCGTCCCGTCACCTGGAAGGGAAAGCACTGACAATGGAGCAGACCCGTCTAAGAGGCTTATCGGTGCGCTTACAATCTGCATCCCGCCGATCTCCGAAAACTGTGCCAAGGGGGGGCGGGTGGAAGCGACCCAGGCCGAGGGGTGTAAAGATCCCGGGGCCCGGCTGTGACTGGGGGATATTCTGGGTGCTGAGTATTTATACATTTCTAAGCTAAACTTTTTTAATGTCCTGGTCCACTATTGAAGCCCAATTTCAGCTCCAAATCTTTTTTGGGTGGAGCGGGAAACGCTTGCAATGCCTGTCGGGTGTTAAATGCTTTCTGGGTCCCCTGCTGGGATTTCCTCCTACTTCCTGTTCTGTCGGACGCTCACCGAACAGACAGGAAGTGAGGACAGACCTCCTAGACACGGGGTTCAGCCCTTCCACGCTCTGTGCAAATCATTCTGTCTGGATTTGGGCTTTGAGTTGAAATATTTTTCTTCATGTGGAGGAGGGGAACATTATATTTTCGGGGGATCTATTATAGAGATTTATGTTTTTGGTGTTTTTTTTTTTACTATTTAAAATGTTGGTTTACAAACTGGGATCCTGGCATTTTGTGTCTTTAGTTACTCGCCGTCGTCTGCCACCTGCATGACTCCTCCTCCTCTGTGCTTTTCTTGTAGGGGGTATGTTGATGAAATTTGTCAATTTGAGATTTAAGGATTAGTTGACCTTTTCCCCCCAAAAAATATATAAAGGTGAACGCTCTCACAACACCCTCCTCCCCCAATAGGCAGCACACTTCAGTCTCTTGTGATCCTTCTTTATTTTGAGATGGGTCCTGGAAGAAAGAAGAGATGCTCATTGGCTAGTAAGGTCACCTGGCCTCGCTGACCAATGACTGGTTAGGACCAATTTTCAGGTAAGAAGTCTCGCTTTCACCTGCTGAAAGGGGGACTTTGAGGCGCAGGTTGATTCGCTGTTGGAGGCCATTGCTGAAATGGCAAAATGAGAAAAAGAGGTTTATTCGGACCCGGAACCACCACCATTGGACTAATGAGGACTGGAAGACGATCTTATGGACTAATTAACCGAAATCTTCAGCTCATTACACTGGGTTTTAATAAAGTTCAAACCAATGTCTGTTGATCCTGCCAGAAACCTTGTGAGCTCCTTACTTCCTGTGCTCTTTTACCTTTGCTGCACCATTGTCAGTCACATTGTTCCCAGATCCCTGTGAACTATGGATCCCTTCCTTCTTATATCATGGAGAAGAGGAGGTGTTCTGTAGTCCTGTCCTAGGGTGACAATGCTGCCCCGCCACAGATACAGTACAGTGATTGAGCATTGTCACCCTAGGAGTTTAAATAAAGGAAAAAATGCTGGAATATAAAAACGAATGCAGCCGCCATAGCTGGGGAGCTGCAATATAACTTCCTTTTCGGCGGGTTGGTAGCGTAGACGAAAGTCGCAAGTGCACACTGCCCGCTCAGCATTGCAATCATCGGCAAGCCCTGCCCTCAGCGGGGAGGGCTTGCTATGATCACAAGTACGATCTGCCTGTCCAAGATGGGCAGGTTGTACGAAATTTTAATGACCTTACAACTATCGCACAACGAAAGTCGTGCGATGGTTGTAAGGTGTGTGGCGAGCTTAAATGCCAACTTTTTGTACAAATAGTACAGCTGGAGGGCCGGAGGTTTGCTACCCCTGGTATAGAGGAATGCAAGTTCAGAAATGTCTCAGCATTACCCTATTTCCTCCACTAGATGTCACCAGTGTACACCACATGATACCAGACTAGTCCACATAACTAAGAAGCCATTTTCTTGCTGCATTAGGGGGATGAAGGAAGGAGGAGAATCTACATCCCTATAACATGGTCTTACCATGACACTTAATTAAACTGTCCTTAGAATGTTATAGGTTCCCAGTCGCAGCATTGGTCATGGTAACAGAGACACTCCGGTGGTAATACGGTAGGCTGATGAGCGCGGAACATTATAGACGGTTCTACAGGATTTTAGTAACCGGTGCCCCGTACTTCCCATACTCACATGTGTATGTAATCTTCCATGAGGATGGG